AGACCACAAGTTTTAAAACCAGTTACCCACTCGAAGATTCCATCTTCCAAAAAAGCAAAGCAAAAACGAACAAAAAACAGGTACCCCTAGATACCCAGGAGGCTGAGATCTGAGGATTGTGGTTCAAAGGCAGCCCAGGCAGGAAAGGCCATGAGACTCTTACCTCCAGTTAGCCACCAGAAAACCGGAAGTGTCACTGTAGCTCAAAGTGACAGAGTGCTAGCCTTGAGTGAAAAAACTCAGGGACAGTGTCCAGGCCCTGAGTTTAAGCCCCACAATCCCCCTGCCCCCTAAAAAAGCAAAATAAAAAACATCAGGTACCAAGTCAGTATCAATCCTTTGACTGAATTCAATATTCACTTTTCAGTTTTGCATATAAACCTTTTCTGTTTTTCTCATTTTGTTGTTGTTGATTGTGGGGCTTCAACTCTGGGCCTGGGCACTGTCCCTCAGCTCTTCAGCTCAAAGTGAGCACTCTACCACTTGAGCCACAGTGCCACTTCAAGTTTTCTGGTGGTTCACTGGAGATAAGAGTCTCATGGACTTTCCTGCCCAAGCTGGCTTTGAACCCCAATCCTCAGGTCTCAGCCTCCTGAGTAGCTAGGATTACAGATGTGAGCCACCAGCGATCTATCTATAAACTTTTTATCCATAGCTATAAAAATATGCTGTGATTTTATCAGGGTTTCATTGGATTTAGATCAAGTTGGAAAGAAATAAAACTTATATAATTTACCTAACATTTCAGCAGGTATAAAGGGTGCTGGCAGCCAGCTTCTACTCTTTCAATTTGATGTTGCACTTCACCTCACCAAATCTTGTTGGCTCATCAGCCTGAGAAGAGTTCAGCATCCATAACCAAGATGCCATCCCTTTCCTACATAGGTTCCATGTTCTTCTAGATTTGCTGGTAAGTAGCTGGATACCTTCAGCCTTCACTCACTCCTTATACTTTTCATCCCTGGGCCAGGCCCATGCTATGAAGAAACAGGTGACCTCCTGTCCAACAGTCAGACAAGTTAAGAGAGCCTCACTCAGACTAGGAATCAAGAAGGGAAATTACTAGGAAAATGTGCCTATAGCCAATACCTAAAAGCTAGCAATTTGGTTCCAGGTTATTTGTACTTGTGAGTTTACTCATTCTCTTTCCTACTTACAGCCTTCAGATTGCAGTGACATCATTCTTCCTAGTCAACTTGCCATTTGAAAGCATAAATACTGAGGGATAAAATTGCTAGATCTAACTGCTAGGTCTGAGTTAGGTAACATTCCTGCTTTAAACATGCCAGTTTTCTAAAGACGTGGTACAAATTTATACTCTCAGAGCCAGACAGAAAGATTCACTTTTATTTTACATGGAAGCTTTTCCCCACCTCTCTCCACCATTAGCTCCCTTTTCCTATCTGCTTGGCCCAGGTTGGGCCTGAGACAGACAGAGCTTAGGCTCGGCTGCCTGGAGAAACTTCTGTACCATGTAAGAAAAGACCCTGGTCTCTAGGACCAAAAGGAGCCGAATCACATCAGATGGTGATTAACAATAGGAGCCCACAGGCGCTGCTGACTGGAACAGTAAGCTAGTTGTGTCAGCAACTAAAATGAAGCCCCGTGTGGTGGAGTAGGACAGGAAGTAGTCTCTGGGCATCACTCTTCTCCTCTTCTGCTTGTCCTTGCTCTCAGGGCTGGTTCTGGAAGAGAGGACAACTCCCCCAAAACACCAGAGTCTGGTCAGTTGGTTTTTTTTTTTTTTTTTTTGTCAGTCATGGGGCTTGAACCCAGGACCTGGGCGCTGTACCTGAGCTCTTCTGCTTGAGGCTGGTGCTCTACCGCTTTGAGCCAGAGCTCCACTTCCAGTTTTCTAGTGGCTAATTGGAGATAAGAGTCTCACGGACTTTTCTGCCTGGGCTGGCTTTGAACCGTGATCCTCACATCTCAGCCTCCTGAGTAGCTAGGTTTATAGGTGTGAACCACCAGCGCCCAGCTTCTGGTCAACTCTTGTACTACTAGTTGGCGGCATGAACCTCGTCACTGCTCACTCACTGTTCTCACTGCCACAGGAAGGCATCTAACTTGGCCTGGGCGGGAGAATGTTTTGTCTTCATCTTTATTCTCTGCTTATGGTTGGCCTTGGGTTTAACTGGTAGTGGGCGGATCATGCCTGTGTCTGTCTGGAAAAAAAAAATGTCAAGGAAGATGCACAGCGAGGAGACTAATGTAGGGCAGAGAAGTTCAGACGTAGGGATGGGCAGCCCTGTTACACAAAGCAAGACCAAGCTCTGCACAGCAGAGGAGGTAGGTAGTGCTAGTCCAGGGTCTGGAGGTACAAACCAGATGTGTGTAAGCTTCAATTCAGCTAATAACCAGAGAACAAGGATACAGGCTGTATGAATTTTGTTCGGCCTCCAAGTCCATCGAATCCTGTTCTTATCTAGGACAGAAGGAAGAGAAAGGTGGGCCAGAGTATTGGGTTAAGGGGCTGGCTACCTAGCTCTACCTAAGAGATCTGGCCTCTGTCACTGCGTGAAGCCATCCTTACCACATCTGTGCTGCGACAGGACTCTGACACAGTCTTCTTGGGTTGTTTGTGACGCAGGACAGCATTCCGGATGAAGCGGGGAAACACAGCAGCTAGCTCCTCATCTGGCTCTCCTGCACACAGCTGGCCACCCAGTGAGAATTGGGATTCCTGTAAGGAGAACCCAGAGCTAGCCCTAAAGAGCCAGATTGTCACAAAGGAGAGAGGGTTGTGTTGGGAGAACAAGATCAGGATCTCTGATACCCCCTAAGAAGGCAAGAAAGATAAGAGAGCCCCAAGGGGGGCTGGGAAGGTGGCTCAGTGGTAGAGCGCTTGCCTTGCATGCCTGAGGCCCTGGGTTCGATTCCTCAGCACCACATAAGCAGAAAAAAAAAAGCCGGAAGTGGCACTGTGGCTCAAGTGGTAGAGTGCTAGCCTTGAGCTGAAGAACTGAGGGACAGCGCCCAGGCCAAGGTCAGGCCCCACAACCGGACCAAAAATAAAGAAAATTATTAAAAAAAAAAAAAAAGTGAGAGAGCCCCAAGGCAGCTCCAGAACCCTATTCCTGGGGCCAAGGGAGGAGGCTTTGATATGAATCTGCCTGCTCAGAAGTCTAGCTTTTCATGACCAGGCCTGGCAAGGGCTGGTCTACTAGCTGGAGGCCCAAATCTGTTCATTCTTCACTCACTGCTCACTGCTACAGGAAGATATCCAGTTTGGCCTGTACTTTTTCGAGGGAGTTCTTACCTGCTTAGATCTTTTGGGCATCTTCTCGAAGACATCCTGCATGGGAGAGCTATAAGAATGGGGCATGAAGGCAAGAAGCAAGTAAGCAAAACATGAAGGCCAGGTCCAGCAAATGCCCCTTAAGAGAACCACTATGTTATGGCTATGTTATGAGCAAGTCAACTCAGTGGTCTCCAATCAAACTGCAGATCTGTGAACAGCTGGACAGAACAGTGGCAGCATCAGGGTAGACTGGACTATGGTCTGTTCCTTCATTTCCATGTTCCCTAAGTCCTTGGGTACCTCACCATGTTTCAGGTTCTACAAAGGCCTAGGGAGTCCAACCCATTCAACCACCCACCAGAGGAAGATAAGTCATGGCCTCATATAGGCAGAAGGCATCAAGTGAGCTCATGCTTTGACCTGTCTGCCCAGAGAGGGACAGTAAGTTAGCTTCTCAGTAAGATAGCCTGCAAAGTACTCTTAGAACACAGGGCTAGGTCATTCCCCTGACAAAAATCTGTACAAGGGTCTTGAAAAGAACACAGCCTAGTTGCGGGGCCTGACTTTGTGTTCTCAGTCCTAGAGCTGGGCACTGTGTTGCAGTCCAATTTCCTAGCAGCTAGATACTATCTTCTGGAATTTCTCCAGGTGGGTGGGAAGATGGTGACCTAAGGCTAGCTCTGTTGCTTCTGAAGCTATGAAGCAAGACCTGCTTCGGTCTTCATGAGAGATGTCTTAGCTATCCCCCTTTCTGGGTCCTGGATACTGCCAGGGACCACCACGCACTGTGCCTTCTCCAGGGAGAGCTGCTTGGGGTGATGACCATGCAGGGAGCTGGAGGGCTGGGCTGGAGGGGTTTCTACATCAAAGGTAGCGTCGAGGTCAATATCGTCACTGTAGGATGGCCGTCGGAGCTTCAGTTTCTGTATCTGTGGAGCTGGGCTGAAGGCAGAGGTAACTCTTGTTACTTGAAACAGTAAGCAGAAGCACAAGCCCTCTGTGTCTGCCTCAGGGTCCCAGGGGCAGACTATGGACTCAGGGTCACTACTTTTTTTTGGTTGGTCATGGGGTTTAAACTCAGGGCCTGAGCGCTGTCCCTGAGCTCTTTTGCTCAAGGCTAGAGCTCTACCACTTTTGAGTCACAACACCAGCTCAGGTTTTTGAGTGGTTAATTGGGGACTTTTCTACCCAGGCTGGCTTCGAACCATGGTCCCCAGATCTCAGCTTCCTGAGTAGCTAGGATTATAGGTGTGAGCCACCAGTGCCCAGCTTCAGGGTCACTCTTGAAGAACTTCTAGGGAATAAACCATTTGGCTCAGTCCTCCTCACAGTCAAAATACTAGTAAAAGGCTAGAAGACCAAAGGAAGTAAGCAACATGCAGACAAAACCCAAATAAACAGGGCTGGGAAGGTGGCTCAGTGGTAGAGTGCTTGCCTTGCATGCATGAAGCCCTGGGTTCGATTCCTCAGCACCACATAAGCAGAAAAAAAGCCGGAAGTGGCGCTGTGGCTCAAGTGGTAGAGCGCTAGCCCTGAGCTGTAGAGCTGAGGGACAGTGCCCAGGCCCAGAGTTCAGGTACCATGACTGGCAAAAAAAAAAAAAACAAATAAACAGGCTACTACCCTTTGACTGTGCACCTTGTTACTTAGAAAGCAAAGCAGGGAGCCACTCAGAGATATCACTGAAGCCTAATATAGATAGGACTGTCTCTTCTGCCTCCTCTTATCCCCATGATGCTACAATCATAGTAAAGGTATGTTAGGGGAACCGAACCAAGGGCCTCATGCATGCTAGGCAATCCCTCTACAATTGAGCCACACTTCCAACCCATGTGGGTGAGTGTATGTATGTGTGTTGGTACTAGGGCTTGAATTCAGGACCTTGTGCTCTCATTCAGCTTTCTTGCTGTTACTCTACCACTTGAGCCACATCTCCAGTCTGACATTTTGCTGGCTAATGGAATATGGAATTTCACAGACTTTTCTGCCCAGACTGGCTCTGAACCACAATCCTCCAGGTCTCAACCTCCTGAGTAGTTACAATAATAGACCTGAGCCATTGGTGCCTGGCCCTCTAAGACTGTGTGTGTGTGTGTGTGTGTGTGTGTGTGTGTGCCTGGCCCTCTAAGACTGTGTGTGTGTGTGTGTGTGTGTGTGTGTGCCTGGCCCTCTAAGACTGTGTATGTGTGTGTAATAGAGAGAGAGAAATAGAGAATGTGTTGGTCGTGGTACTTGAACTCTGGGTCTGGGCACTGTCCCTCAGCTCTTCAGCTCAAGACAAGTGCTCTACCACTTGAGACACCACTCCTAGTTTTCTGGTGGTTCATTGGAGATAAGGCTGGCTTTGAACCGTGATTCTCAGATCTCAGCCTCCTAAGTAGCTAGGATTACAGATGTGAGCCACCAGTACCCAGCCCTCTAAGACTTTAAATTTTGTTTTATTTATTTTTTTTGTTGGTCATGGGGCTTGAACTTGGCTTGGGTGCTGTCCCTCAGTCCTTCAGCTCAAGGCAAGCACTCTACCATTAAGCCACAGCACCACTTCTGGTTTTCTGGTGGTTTACTAGAGATAAGAGTTTCATGGACTTTCCTGCCTGGGCTGGTTTTGAACCACGATCCTCAGATCTCAGCCTCCTGAGTAGCTAGGATTACAGGTGTGAGCCATCAGTGCCCAGCTAAATTTTGCTTTTTAGATAGGGCCTACTTGGTCTAACCTTGAACTCTTAATCTTTCTGCCTTCTGAGTAATTGGGAATACAGACATGAACCACAATGCACAGCCACTACCCCAATTTTTAAGTCCAGAAAAATACTAGTGAATAAAGGAAATTCAGTCTCTCTGCACATAGCTTAATGTGAAGCAAAGCCTAAGCTTTGTACAGATATAGGATAAGCAAATGATGTGTCCTATTAGCTTGAAAGATAAGGGAAACCAGAATTATCTTCCCTTATAGGCTCTGGCATGGAGCATACTCAGAATGAAGTGAGCTTGTCCTCATGTAAGAGCTCCAGACCAAATTCTACAATATAGCATGTAGCTGTTGGGTACTGGGTATAACCCAACATCCAGCTCATCTCTCCTATTGGAATACAAGGGTCAAGAGCACAGCAAGGGCTTGGCATGAAGCAGGTAGTAAGGCATGGTAAAGAAAAGTAAGCAAAGTCCCTGGATACCTAGAGGTAATCTGTACGCTTTGCTTATCTCACTATAGATACCAAGCACAGAGGAGACAAGTGTGTGGGCACCCTGGGGCCCACAGAATGGAAGTTAAAAGGAGCACCATCAGGAGACTGCAGAGAACAGCCACTACCATAAGTAGAGGTGTTGCATCCCTTTACTTTGAGACAGTTTGGTTCTAAAAAGTGTCCATAGCACCTTGTATTTGAGGCTATCAGCTTCCTGAGGGTAAGACTGTGCCTAGTAAGTTCCTGATAGAGTTCCTGGGTTTCCTGGGATTTCTGAAGTGGTATGGCCAATGGCTGAGAGCAAAGTAAGGAAGGACCAGAAACAGAGCCTAATTTGTGAAAAATCAACCTTTGCTGGGTTGGGGATATGGTTCAAATGGTAGAGCAGGGCACTAGCTGTGAGCAAAAGAGTTGAATAAAAGCACAAGATCCTGAGCTCAAGCCTTAGTATCACCACATACGCACGCATGGATGCATGTGAGTGCTCATGCGCGCATGGACGCACGCACGGACACACGCACGCACACACAGAATGGTTCAAATAAATACTTGGTCACTGACAAGAGTTTTCTGTTGGGTTTGCACCTGATGTCCTCTTGCATGCAGAAAATAGCCCTGAGGATGTTTTACACCAGCCTGTTTCTGTAGAACTCTCAGGAAGAATGAATGTCTGCTCCTGGCAGACACCAATCTCTCCAACACTAGGCTCCCTCTGCTGGCAGCTTTAAAGCACACATTACTAGGACCAGAAAAGGATTATTTTAGAGTGAAGGGTTTCAAGTTTGCTTCAGCAATGGGGGCAGACAGATGCATGTGGCAAGACACTCCAGTATGCCCCAAGACATGGCTCCTACCCTAGTCTCAGACCATCCCTAGGGCTCATCTGGTTTGTCTTGGCTTTTCCCTGTCAGAATCCAGATTTGTTTCAAAACTTTCTAGCTAACTCTTGGCTGGCTCTCAAGGCAGGTGGTCTATAAACTTCAAATCCCCACCCACCCTACCAAAGCCAGGAGTGAAGACTCTTCTTAGGCAGCTGTCCCAGCTTGTAATCCCCTGTACCCACTCCAAAGGGTCAACAAACCTCTCTAAAACCAGGCGGTTGACAGTCTCCTTGGCTCCTGGTGGCAGTTTCAAGGTTTCTTGTAACATCGTTAGCTTCTTTTTTAGACTCTTGGGGAAGGAAAGAGAAGAATGTGAGGGCAAGGCTGACACCAACTCTCAGAGACAATGCAAAGGACAAGCCACATATGTGAAGGGCACCAGGAACAGGGTAAGGTCTGAAATCCCAATTTAGGCTTCAGAACCCATTTCTAGAGAAGCCCTTTATGTGGTGACTAAGGACCTCAGAGAGACACTAGAAGGGGAAGACACATGGAGCTATCTGCGTTCTGATGAGAAGGCCTAGGTTACAGACCAGACTAGAGCCAAAGTGTATACCCTGACCCACCCACCCCAACCTGGGAAGGGGCTGGAAGCCCCGAATTACCACCACTAAACTGGCCTAGTTTCCTGGGCAGAAACATCCCAGCCTTACTCTTGGAAGCACATAAACCACCCTCCATTCTCATATCAGGCCAGGAAAAGTGCTCTCACCATGATTTCCTTGTCAGCATTCTGTAAGTCCTTCTGGGTTGATCTCAGTTCTAACTTGGCCTGATCCAACTCAGAGTAGACTATCTGTAACTACAAGAAAATATTGGACTGGGAATGTGGCTTAGTGGTAGAGTGCTCGCCTAGTATCCATGAAGCCCTGGGTTCAATTCCTCAGTACCCCAGAAACAGAAAAAAAGCTGGAAGTGGTGCTGTGGCCCAAGTGGTAGAGTGCTAACTTTGAGCAAAAGAAGCCCAGGGACAGTTGTCCAGGCCCTGAGTTCAAGCCCCAGGACTGGCAAGGGAAAAAAATAAATAAATAAAGTATAGGCAGGGCTGGGATATCACACAGAGATGAAGTGCTTGCCTAACATGCACAGGGTCCTGATTTTGATCTCCAGCACCACAGAAAAACAAGTATAGGGTGTAAAGACAAGCCACGTGATGGCCATGTGTCCTATTCCCTACCTACTGTTACCCAGGTCAGGGGAGCAGAGCATGTTTAATGTTATTGGGATAAGCCCCAGGCTGGCAACCTGGGTGTGGATGGCTCTCTACACACTGCATGCAGATGCAGCATGCCAGAAATGAAAGCAACTGGCCTGAGAACCCAAGCCTAGGAACTCTCTGGGGTTGGTACAAAAACAGGTTTCTAAAGCTATCACATTTGGAGCCTGTGCTCTTCAGCTAGCTGAGAGGTACCCAAGAACCAAGAAGTACAAAAGAGCATGAATGTGAGTGTTAGGGCAGATAACTCTAAGTAGACAAGCCAAGCCATGTAGAGCCAATACCCAGGTAAGGACCAGTAATCAATTTCTGCAGACTGCTCTCAATCCCCATGGAATCAGCTGTTCGATTCAAGCAGTTACCTTGTTTTTGGAGGAGGTCAATTCCTTCTTCAGCTTGTCAGCCAGCTCCCCTGAGGCTTTCCGTGCTTCTTTCAGATTCTCATACTCTCTGCAAAAGTGGCCAGAGAGAAATGTAATAGAAGAGGACACCCTACTGGCCAGACCAAACCACAGCACCAACCTAATACAGGCCTTTCCCAAACCCTTTTCCCATTCTCATTCATCCTCTTGTCATCTGAGCCCAACACAGCCCAGGTATCTCTGTGAAGGCTCCTGGACAAAATGTACGACGGTCTGGTGACACTGTTCCCTCCTTGGCCTATAGGCGTTGGTGACTTGAGAAGCTCCTGCCTTACTAGAGGGCCCCTTCTACCACCTGGTTCCTCTAGGAAGTATTTGGATCCTATGTGCGGGTCATCTAAGTGGCCTTCCCATAGACTTCACACTATCTCAGCGAAGGATATGGGCAAAGTTTGTGATCTAAGCCAGGTGGGGTTAGTAACAGTACTAATAGGAAGCAGACTACAGCTATCATGTGAGAACTTATAGCTCCAAGACCAAATCAACTCAGTTCTATAACATCTTTAATTCACTCAGTTCTATCAACACTCCTATGAAGCAAGTCTGTAACTATCTCCATGCAAGAAGGTGGAGGTCAGAGAGGCCTCAAAACTGTATCCAAACAAGAGATGGAGTCAGGGTTCAACCTCAGGCAGCATGGCTCTAGATCTTGTTCCTTAACACCATCTGCTTTACAAGATATGAGCATTAGAGCCATGGCCGGGGACTCACAGCCAGATTCCTAGGCTTGTTGATAAGGCCAGACAGAGTATAGGCTTTTTTTTTCTGGTGGTGGTACTAGGGTTTGAACTTAGGGATTTGTGCTGGCTAGGCAGGTCTTCTACTACTTTGGCCACACTCCAGCCCTCAGAGTGCATACTTTTTTTTTTTTTTTTGCCAGTCTTGAGACTTGAACTCAGGGCCTGGGCACTGTCCCAGAGTTTTTTTTTTGCTCAAAGCTAGCACTCTACCACTTGAACCCAGCGCCACTTCCAGCTTTTTCTGTTTCTGTGGTACTGAGGAATCGAACCCAGGGCTTCGTGCATGCTAGGTGAGCACTCTACCACTAAGCCACATTCCCAGCCCAAGTACATACTTCTTGAGGGACACACAGTACGTAGACAGCTGCTCCACTGCTGACTGCCCCACACCCATGTATCGGATCATCTCCTCCACCTCAGGCCTCTGGCTTTGGAGCAGGAGCTCAATCCTGAAAAACATAACCAGCCCACGACATTTGAAATCTGGAGGCTGATGGTTAGTCTGCCTCTCTTTGCTGCTATTGCTATGGCAACAGCCTGGGCTGCTAGGATGCTCAAGCAGGTGGGTGTGCCCAAGGAAAAGGCTCATAGCAGAGCTAAGCAGAACTCCAGGGATGCTGCTGAGGAAGAAAGAGGTGCTAACAGAGGACCTCAAAGTCAGGAAAAGGCCTGGTAGGTCAGTTGGCCTCAGGCAAAAGGATAATAAAGAATCATCACATAATGAAGGCACACATGGAAAGTAGAGGAGTTCACAGAAGCTAACTAAGAAAGAAAGTCTATGCCCATGCATGGCTGGCCTGAGCCTTCAGCCCTGGGTATAAAGGCAGTGTAGAGGCACCAGCTTCCGACTCACTGCTCCATGGACTTCATCTTGTTCTTGAGTCGAAGGGCCTCCGCTCGTGCTTGTTTAGTCTCATCTTGCTGCTGCTCCAAGTATTTCATCTGCTTCTGAGGAGCAAATACACCCATATATCTTACTTGGCGGTCTCCAGAATCTTGGCTAAAGTTATTAGGAAAACTCCACTCTAGAACTCTCTGTACTATATCTTCTAAAGATGCTGATAATAATGTCCCCCAAATCAAGGATGTAATGCTCTGGGGCTCTACTCAGGCCTATACTTTGCATTTTGTTGTTCTTTGGGGGGGTAGGTGGGAATCCAACTCAACACATGTGCTAGACAAACACTCTACCACTGAGCTACATTTCCAGACAGGCCCTAAGGCAGTTGCTACCTCCCTTCCCTGCTGCCTTCTTCTGAGATACATCTTACTATAGGTATGGCCCAATGCCAGAACTTATAGGCCCACTATAGACCGGTAGGTTTCTGTGGTCTAGGCTTTATTGTGCACGTTATCCTTGTAGCTGAAGAAAAAAAGCATTAACCCAGACCTCACTGTCAGATTCATGGAGCGGTGCCAGGATACAAGAGCTAACTAAGCCAGAAGTGACTGACCAGGCTGCCTTCAGCATAAGACCACTCCATCTCTGACCTGGGAATGCCATCAGACTCCCCCACTGCAGCCAGGTGCGTGTTTTGCTCCTTTCCCACTGGCCAGGCCATGTGATCCAGCCCAGCCCCCGTGCAGGAACAGAGAGAATATCCTGGGGTCTTGTCTGCTCGTCAGGATGGCTCCCTTTCCCTTTCAAATAGCATCCAGCAAGGACTGCTTCTGCCTACAAGGCTGGAATATCAATCGTGGGTTCAGATCAATCGCCTCATGCCCCTTGGAGAGCAAGAGGCTCACTAACCCAGGCTGATACAAAATTCATCTGGGTCTAGGGCTGCTTGCTCTACAGGCTTTGATCTGCCCTGTTGGCTCAGCATAGCTGACTTCAAAGGCCCTTGTTCCTCCCTGGGATGCTGTTTGATCTGGCTCCAGAGAGCAGCCTGGCCAAAGACTAGAGTGCTAATGGAAGGTTCTTCAGATCAGCCTCATCACTGGAGTATGAGCCACTTTTGGAAACATGGCCTAGCCTCACCTGGGCCTTAGTTGAGTAGCCTCTCTGTGAAGTGTTGGAAAGGCCTCACCTTTGCCAAAATCCACAAGCACAGCCAGTATGGCCCTTTTCTAATGTGTTGGATGGTACAGTATGGGAGGGCTTGAAGAAGTGATTTGCTTCTATGTTACTAATTCTCAGGTGGAACCAGAAAGATAAGTCCAGGACAGGCTTTATCTCCCCACCAACTCTGTGCATGCAGAACCTCGGGACTTACTCTGAGAGTGGAGCACAGCATCTCAGACTTGTCTAAGGCCTTCTGCAGAGATTCCACCATGGCGTTGCGCTCCTCCAGTGTGTCTCGCAGAGTGTCAATGATAACCTGACTGTTCCGTTTCTCTTTCTCTAGAGCAAGGGTGGAGGGTTAGAGGGGAGGGAGAGGCCCATCTACTTATCAGCATGAGAACCTGGGTCTTTGGACTCCAGCCCTTCATCCATAAACCAGATAAGGAAATAGTGCAGGTCAGAATATTGGGTGGCCTCCTCCTCTCTCTGGCGTACAGCAAGGAAGCCAATCCAGAGGCTTCATCCAGGAAACAAGCTCTCTCTGTGCTGCTTGAACTGGGTCTAGTCAATTCATTATTCCAGAACTTAGGCAGACTACACTTTGCCCTACAGACACTCTACCATCAGATATTCCTTCCCAGCAGGGCTCCAAAGCAAGAAACTCCATAGATAGAAGGCTTGCTTGGTCTTGGCAGACTGTTTCAGTCACCTCCCTTCTCTCTCTCTTTCTCCTAGCCACAATAGCTAACAAGACCCTTGAACAAAGCCGGGCGCTGGTGGCTCACGCCTGTAATCCTAGCTACTCAGGAGGCTGAGATCTGAGGATCTCGGTTCAAAGCCAGCCCTGGCAGGAGAGACCGTAGACTCTTATCTCCAATAAACCACCAGAAAACCGGAAGTAGCGCTGTGGCTCAAGTGGTAGAGTGCTAGCCTTGAGCTGAAGAGCTGAGGGACAGCTCCCAGGCCCAGAGTTCAAGCCCCATGGCCAACCAAAAAAATAAATAAATAAATAAAAGACCCTTGAACACATAAAGCAAACAGAGCTCTTGGCTCTGCCATAAGGTTGAAGGCCTTCTTCTAGGGCCTCTCCCTCCAGAATCTAAGTCAGGGACTTCCCAGGACTCCTTGTCTTTTGCTAACTCACCTTTCTGAGAAAGTTGGGCTCTGGTATTGTCCAGTTCATTCTGCAAGGCAATTCCCACAATGAGCAACAGGAACACATCAGAACTAGCCACCACATGGTCTCCCATAAGTTCCAGGATAAGACAATGAGGTTTGTAGATTCAGGGAAGGAAGCATGGGCCCAGTATACCTCAAGGCCAAAAAGGCCAAACTAATCCAACAATGGAGAGATACTCATTGTTTTATCTTTTTTTTTTTTTGGTCCGGTTGTGGGGCCTGAACTCTGGGCCTGGGCGCTGTCCCTCAGCTCTTCAGCTCAAGGTTAGCGCTCTACCACTTGAGCCACAACGCCACTTCTGGCTTTTTCCTTTTTGCTTATGTGGTGCTGAGGAATCGAACCCAGGGCCTCATGCATGCAAGGCAAGCACTCTACCACTGAGCCACCTTCCCAGCCCCACATTGTTTTATCTTTATGAACATTTTATTTCATTTTTTTACTTTTGTTGTTGGTCATGGGGCTTGAACTCGGCCTGGGCACTGTCCTTGAGCTCAAGGCAAGCACTCTACCACTTAAGCCACAGCACCACTTCTGGTTTTCTGGTGGTTTATTGGAGATAAGAGTCTTACAGGATTTCCTACCTGGGTTGGTTTTGAACCATAATCCTCAGATCTCAGCCTCCTGAATAGCTAGGTTTACAGGTGTGAGCCGGTTATTTTATTTTATTTTATTTGAAACAGTGTCTTATTTATGTAGACCAGACTCAGCTCAAACTCATGATCCTCTTGTCTCAGCCTCCAAAGTGCTGGGATTATAGGCATGTACTATTATGTCCAACTTCCTTTGGGCTTTTCAAAAACATGGATAATGTGTAGGAAACTAGTCCTCGAAGTGAAGCTCCAGGACAGGGAAAGAGAGAAAATGGGTAAGAGAGATAAAGTTGAGTCCATGTAACAATCTTAGTAGCCGAGACCTCCATTACTTCTCTAATCCTGTACTAGCCTCAACTTCTCTGGGTATCAGCTGTGCTCACCAGGGTCCAGAACAAAGATGGTGGGGCTGGGAAGGTGGCTCAGTGGTAGAGCGCATGCCTTGCATGCCTGAGGCCCTGGGTTTGATTCCTCAGCACCACATAAGCAAAAAGAAAAAAGCCGAAAGTGGCGCTGTAGCTCAAGTGGTAGAGCGCTAGCCTTGAGCTGAAGAGCTGAGGGACAGTGCCCAGGCCCAGAGTTCAGGCCCCACGACCAGACCCCCCCCAAAAAAAAACCAAACCAAAACAAAACAGAACAAAGATGGTCAAGGTCCCTAGGTTACCACTAGTTCTCTCTATGCTAGCTTCTGCCTGTTTTAGTCTACCTCCCTCTTAGCTGTAAGCTGGCTCTCTATAAAACTTTCCAGTCCCAGAATCCAATAAGTGTTCATAAGCAAAGGTAACTTTTTTTGTACTCCTGGATGAAACTGGGCTCTATCAGGGTCAAGTGAGCCCCTCAAAGCCCTTACATAAATTACAGAGCCACTGCTGCAGTATTGAGGCTGGAGTAGAAATGAATCCAGTTCCCATTTAGGAGTCTAGAGAATATAACATCCTTGTATACAAAAGAGGTGCTTACTCCATAATTAGGAAAAACAAGTTTGTTGTTGTTTTGTTTTTCTTTTCTTTCTTTTCTTTTCTTTTTGCCAGTGCTGGGGCTTGAACTCAAGGCCTGGGCACTGTCCCTGAGCCTCTTTGTGCTCAAGGCTAACGCTCTACCACTTGAGCCACAGAGCTTTTTTTTTCTGGCTTTTACTGAGTAATTTTTATTGAAGAGTTGAATGAACTCTCCTGCCTGGGCTGGCTTTGAACCATGATCCTCAGATCTCAGTCTCCTGAGTAGCTGGGCTTATAAGCCTAAGCCACTGGTGCCCAGCTAGGAAAAATAGGCTTTTTTGTTTTGTTTTAATTTTAAAAACAAGTTTTTATAGAATTTCAAGACTTGGTCATTGTTCCATGGTAGTAGCTAGATGGTATTCTAGAAACTTTCGTCCAGATTATCCTTCTAAAGGCAACACAAAACTCAGAATTTTACATGGGATAAAATTAAGGCCCATGACCAGTGGGTAGCTAAATGTCCTACTATCAAACTCTCCATCCAGGACTCTAGGAGTAGGATCTTTTGGTGGCTAGACTGGGCAGGAAAGGCTGAATAGCTGGGTGTGGAAATGGTGAGTAGGGAAGGGTATACAGGGTCTGTCTGAAAATAAACACCTGTCCAAGGCTGCTGCAACACTACCCATAATTCCTTTGGTCCTTCCATATTCCAGCAGGGTGATTTCCAAGTCCTTCCTCCAAACTATTCAAGATGTTGCCTCACTGTCTCACAGACCTGGCTTTGAAGCTGAAAAGAAATGAAGCTGCTTTTGTTGCCTTCATCACAGGGAGGATACCTCTTAAAACTGGGAGCAGTTACCATGACGATAAACATGCTAGCTCAAAACACAAAAGCTCTATACTCTGGAAGCATTGAGGTTCCAAGGACACCCTAGGGCTAGGGCCAAATAAACGCTCATCTCACAGATGCCTAGGAAATTAACCATCAAAGTTCAGGAATCATTTGTAAATCTCAACCCAATTGTCTGGAGCTTTCCCTCCATCTAGTCCCTTCGTACACAAAGAAAGCGAAATTTTAGATTTAGAGGAAAATATAAGTATAGGAAGGAGTCCACTCTCGCTCCCCGGCAGTGAGTTTCTACTTGGGTTACAGATCTTGATTCCAGAGACTCTGCCCCTCTATGAAAGATCTAGGAAAGACCTAGGTGTCTGGCTTTATACCATTGCCCTTCCCAGGCAATTCTGAGGCATAGCCAGAATAGGGAACAGTAAGGCCATATATCTTCTCTGGCTGGGAAATAGAAGAGTTTTCTAATCTACCATTTACTGTCCATCAGGAAAATGGTCTAGGAAGGAAGGCTGTAGGCCCTTAATAAAGATGAGGGGGCTTTGGGAGAGGCACTCTTTCCTTTGGTGCCTGTACTAGGAGAGGTCTCCCAATCAGTCTCTTCCCTGCCTTACAGGCTCATGATTGTGTCTCATCATTAGTCGTCCTTTGCTTTCTTGTCATTCATTGCCTTGAAGTTTCTACTAAGTCTTCCCTCCATAATAACCTCGCCTCCATACTTTAGGTACCTTCTCTATGTGGGAGTGAAAAAGAGGGCTTGGAGATCGGTACAATGAGATAAATTCTGCATACCTTTAAGAATTCTGCATCCAAGGCATTCTCCTCCTCCGGAGCAAAGTCAAAGAAGAGTTTGTTGATAATAGTCCTTTTGCCAACCTGGATGGGAGAACAAGATAAAGAATTAATTCAGCTGGCACTGGTGGCCCATGCCTATAATCCTAGCTACTAAGGAGACTGAGATCTGAGGATTGTATTTGAAGCCAGCGGGGGCAGGAGACTTTTATCTCCAAATAACCACCAGAAAACCAGAAGTGGCACTACGGCTCAAAGTGGTAGAATGCTAGCCTTGAGCAAAAAAGCTCAGGGATAGCAGCCAGACTCTGAGTTCAAGCCCCATGACTGACCAAAAAAAAAAGAATTAATCCATAGTTCAGTCATGGACAAGGATTCGGGTTGCATATGGGTCTGTCTGCTGGCCTACCATACATGTCAGGTCTGTTCTCAGGCCTAACTTTTCAAATTGTATCTGTTGAAGTCAGAAGACCTCTTCATTCCTGCAGGTACCCCAAGCTGAGACTGCTGGTGTGATTACTGTTGAAGTCATGAGGCTAGAGACATTTGATGAGTGCTCAAAAACACTTCAGCTCAAGGTTCTAGACTCTTTTCTAGACAGGAAGGAGAAGTAGAGCAAATATGCCTAACTGAAGACTGACCCGGGCAGTAAGTCTGTCTTCCAGATCTTAAGAGGTGTAAGCAGGCCTCTGGGGCAACTCATTAGTGCATGTGAGGCTCAAACTAGAGGAATCAAGGAACATCAGAAATACTGCTCAGTTTCTGAGGACAAGAGGTCTTTAGCTGAGGTGGTCCCACACCAATATCCTCACCTGGATTCGGCATTGTGGGCAGGTTCGACTTGGTGCTGTCTCGAACCACTGAATGAGGCTGAAATGAAAAGCAAAAGAACAGACTGGTGAGCCCTGGTATGGCTTTGAGACCCAGATCAGGAAGCCATCCTAACCCAATGCCTGCATGCATGTACCGCAGGCCATTACGGTACATCCCACAAGGGCCTAACTGGTACTCAGCACTCAGAACAACTGACCATTTTTCTGTCCCTGTAAACTTGGCCAGAAGTTCTTCTGGCATCCTGAGTAGCTAGGTTATAGGCATGAGCCACTAATAGGCATGAAGGTATATAATTTTTCACTATCTTTGCATCTTGTCTATAAATTATTCCAAACAGAAAGTTTACTTAAAAATACAGCTTACTGCCGGGCGCTGGTGGCTCACGCCTGTAATCCTAGCTACTCAGGAGGCTGAGATCTGAGGATCTCGGTTCAAAGCCAGCCCGGGCAGGAAAGACTGTGAGACTCCTATCTCCAATAAACCACCAGAAAACCGGAAGTGGCACTGTAGCTCAAGTGGTAGAGCGCTCGCCTTGAGCTGAAGAGCTGAGGGACAGTGCCCAGGCCCAGAGTTCAAGCCCCACGACCGACAAAAAAAAAAAAAAAAAAATACAGCTTACCTAGCTACTCAGAAAGCTGAGACCTGAGGAAAGCAGTTGGAAGCCAGCCCAGGAAGTCTGAGAGACTCATCTCCAATTAACCACCAAGAAGCCACCTGTGTAGCAGGGGCTTAACTGGAAAAACACAAAAAAGCTAAGGGACAGCACCAAGCACTGAGTTCAAGCCCCAGTAAGGGCATACACACAAACTAATTTAACTAAATATTTAAAAAATACAGCTGAAGGCCAGGTGCCAATAGCTCATTTATGTGTAATCCTACTACTTGGGAGGTAAAGACCAGGCAGGAGGATCTGCCAGCCCCAGGGCCCTCCCCAACCAAAATAAAAAGGTTGGCTGTGGTGACCCATGCCTCTCATCATAGCTACTCATACATAGGAGGATTGTGGTCCAGTCTGGCCCAAGTAAAAAGTGAAATCCAAGCTCAAAAATAATTAGAGCAGAGGGATGACATTGATCAAAATGCACTATATATTCATAAACAGCTTTGTTGAATGGAAACTCCTTTGTACAACTACTTAAAGATTATATATATATATGTATATGTGTGTATATATATATATATATATATATATATATATATATATATATAATGTATTTTTTTTAAGTCAGAGAGCTAAGAATGTGGCTTAGAGTGCTTGTCTAGTATTCATGAAGCCCTGTATTCAATTCCTCAGTACCACAAAAAAGCAGGAAGTGGTGCTGTGGCTCAAGTGGTAGAGTGCTAGCCTTGAGCAAAAGAAGCTCAGGGACAGTGCCCAGACCCTGAGTTCAAGCTCCAGGATTAGGGAAAAAAAAAAAAGTCATAGCAGCTAGGTACCATTCTATCACATCTCAATTGGTGGAATGCCTGCCTACCAATATAAAGCTCTGAGTTCAAATCCTAGCACAGCTGATAGATAGAGCCTGGTATGGTAGCACACACTGTAACTCCAACTACTTAGGAGGTAGAAGCAGGAAGGTCTTAAGTTAGAGGTCTGAGCAAAGTTATTAAGACCTGCTCCCAAAAACAAAATTAAAGGGGCTGGGAAGGTGGCTCAGTGGTAGAGCGCTTGCCTTGCATGCCTGAGGCCCTGAGTTCGACTCCTCAGCACCACATAAGCAAAAAGTAAAAAGCTGGAAGTGGCCCTGTGGCTCAAATGGTAGAGTGCTAGCCTTGAACTGAAGAGCTGAGGGACAGCGCCCAGGCCCAGAGTTCAGGCTCCACGACTGGACCCCCCCCCCCCCAAAAAAAAAAAAAAGTAGGCTGGGCATGTGGCTCAGGTGATAAGAGTGCTTGCTGAACTAGAGAGACAGCTGGGTTCAATCTCCAGAGAAGAAAGGCAGGAAAGCAGGAAGGAAGGAGAAGGGGAGGGAAGGAAAGAGGACAGGCAGGCAAGTAAGACGAGTGAGGAAGAGAGAGAGGGAAGGGACAAGAAAGATTAAAAAAAAAAAAGATCACCTATAATCCTGGCACTTAGGAAGTTGAAACAGGAAAATTGAGAGTTCAAGGCTGACTTAGGCTCTATAGTGAGACACCAGCCTCAAAATAACCAAATAACCTAAGAAATACCACATATTTAATTTTCATATTATCAATAATTGCAGCATTTTAAGTAAAGGGTTCAGTTACATAAAAGAGCATCACACCAAGTTAAAATAAATAAATGAAGCAGGTGGAGTGGCTCAAGTGGTGAAGCTTAAAAAGCTCAAGGCTGAGTAAAATGAGTACCATTAAAAAAAAAAAAAAGCCCAGTGGGGTGTTGGTGACTTCTTGCCTATAATCCTAGCTACTCAGGAGGCTGGGATCTGAGGATCACAGTTCAAAGTTGGCCCAAGAGGAAAATCCATGAGACTCTGATCTCCAATTAATCACCAAAAAGTCAGAAGTGGTAGAGTTCTAGCCTTCAACAAATAAAGTTCAGGGACAGCGCCCAGACCCTAACTCAAGCCCCAGGAGACAGACAGACAGACGGACGGACGGACGGACGGACGCACGCGCACGCACACACACACACACACACACACACACACGAGATACATAAATACATTAAAAAGTTTAAAGTGTTTGAAGAAAACAGAAACGATAAACAGTATACTTTTAGGAATAATCTGAGTTCCAGCCTAACCAAACAACCACTTCCTTAGAATGGGGCTCAGGCTATTACCAACACCAATTTAAAAGAAACCCTTTGCAAGTGAGGGGAACCCAGGAGCAATTAGAGTAGTACCAGCCTCCCTGCTTCCTGAAGGCTTTTGTGCCACTAGCCCTCTTTGACAATTACTACCCCCCATGAAAAGCGTGTGTTACTCTGACTTCTCTCTTTTGCTGGAAGCTCCAAACCAACCTGTCTCCAACTGCTAGAGGAATCTCCCCCCCAAAAAAAAAAAAAACTCTGCACTCAGAAAAATGATTCTACACAATTAGCAGGACCCTTTGATAAAGCAGCTCTCTACCTTTTACGTTGAGCAAGGTGTGCTGGCATGGTATCTGGCCAAGGAAATGATTTGGGGTACAATCAATTCAAATCACCAAGCAAATCACAATAAACTCTTAAGACTTACCAGAAGCCAAGCCAGATGCTGGTGGCTCATGCCTATAATCCTGGTACACGGGAAGCTGAGATCTGAGAATCATGGTCAGCAAGAAAAGTCCGTAAGACTCCTATGTCCAATCAACCACCCCAAAGTTGGAAGTGGTGCTGTGGCTCAAGTGGTAGAACCCTAACCATGCGCAAAAACAGCTCAGGGGCAGTGCCCAGGCCCTGAGTTCCCACACACACACACGAATAATAGAAATAAAAGGACTCGTGAATTGGTGATAGCTCATCTCAGCCCAGCCTAATGGTTTTGAGGTCACATTTCTTTGCACAGGTTCCTAAAGGAGCACTCCATACTCTTCGCCAGATCAATTCTGTCGCCATGGGCCAGGCTCAGCTATCACCTCCACACGGCTGGCTTTGGCCCAGGTTGGGAAAGCCTCGTCTAATGAGGTCTTTATCACCTATGTGGGCTGCAAAGACCGATAACCTGGAGACCTGACACCTCTCGTTCCCAGGACCCTGCAACGCTGTCACTCACCACTGCAGGTGAAAAGTGTGGCCGCAGTGGATGGCTGCCACATCGCGGGAATGGTCGAAGAAGTCGGAGCAAATCGTGCACAGGGCACGGATAGGCATGGTGGCAGGACTCCGGCGACCCGAGGTGGCGAAGAGAACGGCGACGACTCCAGCAGCTTCTCCACGGCGCCCCGGGCTTCCTTCAAATTTGGCTCCACGGCGCGACTTCCGCGAGAGGACCGGAAATGACGACGGCAAACCGGGCGGAGGAATCCGAATGCCTGGTCTTCTGATTGGATGCACGTTCAGGGAAGGGCGGGAGCCAGGGGCGGGACTTAGCGACCCAGAGACCGAGGAGGATTCTGGGACACAGAGCCATAGGCCGCTTCCCGGTCTCCAGAATCAAAAACTCGGTTGGGAGGAGACGACGGCGTCGACGCTGCCAGCTAGCATCTCCGCCCGCCCCCAGCAGAACTCAGTGGGGTCCCAAACCAGAGCTAGTACCAAGTCGAACCAGGCCTGGAACCCTTAGTTCTTTCTCTACGTTGGGACAATGAAGTCCGAGGTCTCAAGGGAATGGGGACCATAGGGGGTTCTGGGGGTTCTTGGCAGTGCTGGGCCTTGAACCAGACCCGCGCCCCCAAAGAGAAAAATGCCCCTACCCCCTCAGCTTTCGATTATGGATGATCTTGGAAATAAGAAGGCATAGGTTCCCGGCCCATCAAGACATACCACACTTCACCTTATTTGGCTTGATCCAAGTAAGGCTTAAAAGATCCCCGAATTCGGAGATAACTAAGGTCAGTATCCTGATTTAGCTCTTAGCTTCCAGGATTGATCATGCTGGGATTGTAGTAGGATTGCAATTTTGGAGTCATAGATTCTTCAAAGAACCAGGACTAACAAACCGCGCCCCCGCCCCTTTTTTTTTTATTATTATTATTCCCACATCAGAGAGGTCCATTCTGAGAAAGTAGCAATCCTGGTGAGTTCACTGAGTCCTGTCTGGCCTGGAGCAAATCTTTAGGAGCTATTTTTAGCAGTATTATCCCTCTCCTCAGAAGAAACCTTACTCAGAGCCCCATATTATAAGGCTGATCTGTTCCAGCTGAAGAAGACAGAGAGCAAAATCTTTTGGGCCTAGGTGGAAAGCATAGGTGCTCACACTAATAGAAATCAACACACAAAAGCACAGAACCTCTGTGCAATGCTCACCCTCTCCCCAGACCAAGGAAGCCCATTTTGGCCATGGTCTTTCCCTGTGCTGGTTGGCCCCTATAGGTTCCAGCCCTATGCCCAAGTTAAGTCAGAGGCTTACTGGCCAACAAGAGTCAAAGCAGCAGCCCTTGCACTCAGCATCAGGGCAGAGACTTTAAACCAAACTTAGCCCAGATATATCACCTACATGGATTTCTAGAATCCAGATCTCCACCACCTTTGTTAGCAAACACACTGATGAGTGTGATCTTCATGCTCAACCCAAGCAACCCACAGAAGCATCAATCACTACCTGTGAACCTGCTCCCAGCCTCTCCCCTCCCCACTGCCTTCCAGGGGCTCCTCCCCGGTAGGACAGAGGAAGCAAAGGCGAGAGGTGGCCAGAGGCTTTACAGGGTGACGTTTATTTGCCAGGTTCAGCAGGCATACAGCCCACCAACCTTCACATACCAGAGCAGACCCACAGGCATGCAGGGAGAAGGGCAGGACCACCACGGAGTGCCAAGCAAGGGCGAGGACCAGTGTGGCTACCTGTCCAGGCTGTGGTAGGGTCTGACAAAGGACACCTGTCAGGAGCCTCCCTTAGGGAATTGAGGAGTCTTATTCTACTTCCTCATCCCAGCAAAGTCAACATGGCTCAGAGGCACCTGGGCCTCTGATAGCAGCAGTAGAAATAGAGGACAATCCTCTCCATGTTGTTGAACTGAGAGCAGCACATCTGCCCCTGTGAAGGGCAAACCCCAAAGCAGACTGTGAAGAACAGCCATGCAGCAGGGTCCCTGGGATCGAGAAAACTTATGGACTGAGCCTGTGTTGGGTTGGGCATCTAGGAAGAGTTATGTGGACATGATCCCTCCCAATTTAGCACTGGGCCTGCACTCTTCTCTCCCTGGTTTCACTGACACATCCTAATTTTTCTTCCTTTTCACTTAAAGGTTCATGAGGATCAGGGTATAGGGAACCCACCACAGAACTCAGAAGGGCAACGAAATAGCACAGGGTTCTTAGGAGGGCCTTTTTGGGAACAAATACAGGAGCTTCCCACCCGCCTCCCCGCTACTCATCCTCTCCCACTTCTGAGGACCCCCTCCCCACAGCCTGAATGCCAGATGACCCATCTTGACTTAAAAGCACACTGCCCTAGATTTCTGCATCCTCTATACCAGCCAATGTCCATTCCTAGAGCAGCCCACACACCATAGGTAAACACCTTATGTGTAGGAGCCTAAGACTGTTGACAGGGCCTCGCTGGAGGACCAGCTCTCAGGGCAAGGCCATCCAATTTAGGGCCCAGGAAAAGTATGGGACTTGCAGGGCCTGCCTGGGGAAGTGATGAGACAGGAAGGGAAGGTGGAGGAGAGCAAGGACCCCCTGAGTATCTCTAGAGCAGCATCCCACAAAGAACAGAAACTGATGAAGCTAGCAAAAGACAGAAAAGCCACAAAAGAATCCATGCAGGGGCTGGGGCCGGCCCTGCCTTAGGCCTGCCCACCACTCACACACATACACACAGGAGGCGAGATTGCTCTCCCGTGGCCCCCAGGCATGCCCCACTATGATGGGGGGGCCTTGGAGGAGCGAGGGCATCATGCCAGTGACTTATGTACAGTGAGAAGCCCCTCATCCATTCTCCCACCCTCCTGCCCATCCCTCAAAACCCCCAGCAGGCTGCCCACTCAGCTGGTCTCCCTCTGAGACTCCTGGGCATGGCCAGCAGCCTCTTCCCCTTTACTAGAGGGCGGAGCCTGGCCTGTGGCGCCCCCTAGGGCTGTGCTGTCCGGCTGGGTCATTGCCGGCTCAGGGGTGACAGCTGCCACAGCAGCTGATGTGGCGCTGCTCTGGGTGGTGGGCACTGTGCTCTCTTCTGTGGCCGGTGTGGCTCTCCCATCCGTGGCTGGAGTCGCGCTCCTGTCAGTGGCTGGGGTGACACTTCCATCCGTGGCGGGGGTGATGCTCCCATCCGTGGCCGGAGTGGCGCTCCCATCCGTGGCTGGGGTGGCACTCCCATCCGTGGCCGGGGTGGCGCTACGATCTGTGCCAGCTACATTATCACTCTTGGGAGCACAGGCATCACCCCCCGTGGCTGCAGCAGCACTGCCCACAGAGGTCAGGGCAGCTCCACTTGTCAGTGCCGCTTTGATCCCACCTGCAGCCCCAGGTGTGGCAGTGTCTGTGGCTGAGGCAGCGGCGCCAGACTGCTCCGGTGCCCGGAGCCGCTTCATGAGCGTGGTCACTCGAACAGCTTTCTGGAAAGTGGACAACAAAAAAAATGAAGGCTCAGGATAAGCCTTGCAGTGGCCAAACCCAGCATTTTCTATGCTATCCCTACTCTTAACTACTCAAGGCCAGGGGACCCCCCCCCCGCAACTTCTCAGTACTCCTGCTTAAAATAATACAGCAGCTACAGCTCATAGCCTGAGAAAAACCTGTATTCAGCTGCAAGGGTGTGGTGCAGGCAAGAGACTGTGACAATCGGAAGAATCACTTTGAAAAAGATGAGTGATTAAATCTTACCTTCCACTTGGCCCTGGCAAAGTTCTTTTCAATTTGAGCACAAACACCATCTTTGATGTTCTTATCAGAAGCGGCATTGCCCGAAATCCTAGAAAGGGGAATAGATATATCTGAAAGGAGAGATATGTGCCTTCATGAAGGCATCCCAGGGTTTCCCTGTGGAATTTGGGACTCCCACGGAGAGCCTCTAGGCTAGCCTGAACTCTGGGTACCCCCCCATACACACCCACACAGACAGACACACACACACACACACACACACACACACAGTTATACGTCTCAAGAATAGAAGGTCCTTCTTTTTCTTTTTTTCTGGTCCTGGGGCTTGAATCTGGACCTGGGCGCTCTCCATGAGCTGCTTTGGCTCAAGGCTAGAGCTCTAACACTTGAGCCACAGCGCCACTTCTGGCTTTTTGTGAGTAGTTTATTGGAGAGAAAAGTCTCACTGACTTTCTCGCCCAGGCTGGCTTTGACCCATGATCCTCAGATCTCAGCCTCCTGGGTAGCTAGGATTACAGGCGTGAGACACCAGTGCCTGCTTCTAAGTGTTAGGTATCATAATCAAGAAAGCTACCTAGATTCTTTCCCTCCTTCCATGAACCCTGCTCACCATTCATGGGAGATGGCCTCTTCCGCTGTGATCCGCTGGTCTTGTTCTACCTCCATCAGCCTGGTAACCAGATCTTTGGCTGGGGACAAAGCCAGGGAGAGGCTAGGCATGGGCGCCCCATCTCACTGTCTAGATGTGATGAATGGGCTGGGGGGAGCAGGAGCAGAATCCAGGAGAAGCTGAGAGCAGTGCCTCCCTCCCCATTACCCTACAACACTACCCACGTCACTGGGTACCTTTCTCACCTGCCTGGGAAATATCATCCCAGTACGGAGAGTCAAACTCATAATCACCAGCCAGGATCTTGCGGAAGAGATTCTTATCATGGTTCTCGTAGTCATCTTCTTCCACCTCCTCATAGAAGGGTGGGTTGCCTGAAAGCCTACATGGAGCAAGGTTACCCAGATGGCCACAGACACAGGCCCCCCAACTCCACCCAGCTGCAAGCGCCCCTGTCTGCCTTCCACTCACAAGATGTACATGATGACACCAATGGCCCAGCAGTCTACAGGGCGTCCATACCGCTGTCGGCCTACCACCTCCGGGGCTACAAAGGCAGTGTCCATAGACTGATCAGAATCAAGCCTGGCCAGGTATTAGAGTGCATCCATACCCATTTCCTAGGAGGGGAATTCTCCTACCCAGAGGGGCTCCCTGAAGGCTGTCCTCCATCCTCCCCCAACCCCTCACTCCTGTCCCATCCCTACTTGCCCAGATACTCCGGGGTCCCACAGGGCTCTTTGATGAGGCCATTCTCTAACTTAGCCAGGTGAAAGTCGCTGATGACAATCTTTGAGTTCTTCAACCGGTTGTAGTAAACTAGGTTTTCCAGCTACTCCAACCAAGAATGGCAGAAGAAAGCGAAGGAGGGGGAAGCAGAGAAAGATAGACATGAGGGCTTCAGGAGCTAAACCAACACTTTAAATGTGCTGCTAAGTGACCCAGTGAGGGGCTCACCTTGAGGTTTCTATGCACAATCTTCAGTGAGTGCAAGTAGGCCACAGCCTCCAGGACCTGCCGCACCACATTGCTCGTGTCTCGCTCCGAGTAGTAGCCCTGGTCCAGGATCCAGTCAAACACCTCCCTCCCCGTGGCCCTGAGGGACACCAGCCCCTGAGCCTGGCGTGGGCAGGATTGGGGGGTAGGGCGGGAGCATCTGGGAGGTCTGCCTGCACCAGGCAGCTGGCTGGACAAGGCCCAGCAGGGACTTAGGACTCCCAAGAGTCTAGAAAGTGGGGATATGGGAGAGGGGGCAAGGGGGGGGGCAGAACACATGGGGGTTGGGCTTTCCTTAGCTGCAGAAGGAGGGACAAATCAAGGCCCTAGAAGATGGCGAATTCTGGGATCCCAAACCCACACTCACAGCTCCAGGAAGATGAAGTATTCCTTTCGAGTCACAAACACATCTACCAGTTGTAGGATGTTGGGATGTTTTACCCTAGTGGCAGGGAGAGGAACCAGAATTTAGGGTTGGATGAATCCTTGGGAGAGGTCCCTAAAGTGACCACATCAACATGAACTGGCTAAAGGTTTGGTCCTCCTGCCCTTAAAGCCCTTCCCTAACCACCCCTAACCCATCCTATCCCCAGGCCTCACACTCACATCTTGAGGATGCCAATCTCATTCTTGGCCGCCTTCCGCACCTTGCGGCCATCCCGCTTCTGGAACTTCTTGCAAGTGTGCAACTTGCCTGTGGTCTTGTCTTTGGCCCGGAAGATTTCACAGAACTCCTCACTGTAGCCAGCAGATACTCTGCTCAACCTTGGTCTTCACATAGGGTACACTCTGCTCCCTTTCCCCCAGCCCTAGCCCACCCTGGCATCTTTGCCCCCATAATGCCCAGCACTCACGTCTTGATGACCTGTCCCAAATCATATCTGTCAGTCACCTCCGACGGCTGGTTATAGTTCTTCTTGTCACCCAGAGTCACACACCCAAACGGCATTGCCAGGCTCTAAGCTGCAGGAAGGATAGAGTCTAACCCAGCGGTACCATCCTCCACTTCCCACAACATTCTGCTTTTGGGAGACTCCAGCCTGGCTCAGACCAGGCCATATACAGAGATGGCATCAGCAGGGAGTTCAAAGGTAGGCAGAGCTCACGCCTGTAATCCTAGCTACTCAGGAGGCTGAGATCTGAAGATCGCGGTTCAAAGCCAGCCCGGGCAGGAGAGACCGTGAGACTCCTATCTCCAATAAACCACTAGAAAACCGGAAGTGGTGCTGTAGCTCAAGTGGTAGAGCGCTGGCCTTGAGCTGAAGAGCTGAGGGACAGCGCCCAGGCCCAGAGTTTCAAGCCCCACGACTGACAAAAAAAAAAAAAAGGTAGGCAGATAGAGACCTAGCTTGCTCTTTTTGGTCATACATTTAGCCATTTAACATGGCTGCCTGTATTACAACAGCCCCCTACAGAGGGGAAAAAAATGTACCAAAGCTGATATATCAGAGAATAGCTTTGCCTCATATCTACTAAAAGACTTATAAAACAAGTTCTTTAAATTTCAGCTATTTCACAGATGAAGGAGCTGTAGTCAGCCACCCACCAAATATTTATCTCTGAGGATCTGGAGACACCAAGTGTGGATTAAAATATGGATAAATGAACACTGCTGGTAGAAGGTGACTCTCTCCTTTGAAAACCAGTGGAGCTGGGCAGTGGTAGTGCACTCCTGTAATTCTAGCCACTCAGACTGAGATCTGAGGATCATGGGTCAAAAGCCAGCCCAAGCAGAAAAGTCTGTGAGATTCCTGTCTCCAGTTAACCACCAAAAAGCTAGATTTGCGTCTAGCTTTGAGCAGATAAAGCTCATGAACAGCACTAGGCCCTGAGTTCAAACCTTAGTACCAGCACTGAACAAAAACAAATACAACCAGTTTAGTCAAACATTCATACATAAATATTTGCCCTGCAGAAAAGCATATATCTGTGCTTTAAAGCACAAGAATGCTCAGGGACAATGTCCACACCCTGAATTCAAGCTCCAGGACTGGTGCACATGCACTCTCTTTCTCTCTCTCTGTCTCTCTCTCTCTTTGTCTCTCTCTCTGTCTCTCTCTGTCTCTGTCTCTATCTCTCTCTCACACACACACATACACACATACATAAATGCTCATTATTGGTCATATCCATAGCTGCCAAAAGCTGGAGATAGCCCAAATATTCACAACCAGCAAAGAACACTGATACAGTCACAGAATAGAATGTTATACTACAAAGGAAACGAGGGGCAAACAGTACATGTTACAGAGAATTGAGAGAACTAGACTAAAAAATAAGCATTCGGTATGTTTTTGTTGATAAAGAGACCCCCAAACAGGCAGAATTGACTTATGCTGTTTGTGATAGAAACATAGAAGTAGCACTATACAGAATGAGTGCCAAGAATCAGAGAATGCTTTCTTCCAAGAAAACTGAGGGTGGTGACTGAGTCATGACACGTGGAGGAAGAGGGTTCTGGAGGGCTTGTTTTTGAACTCGAGTGGTAGTCACACAGGTGTGCATTATCATAAATTGAAAAAACGAATATGCACATTGGGGGCACATTTCTAGATTTGTATTTCATGACAACAAATATTAGTAAATATGAAGTTCCCTGGCATGCCGGAAGCCCTGGGTTTGATTCCTCAGTACCCCATACACAGAAAAAGCCGGAAGTGGCGCTGTGGTAAAGTGGTAGCCTTGAGCAAAAGAAACTCAGGGATTGTGCCCAGGCCCTGAGTTCAAGCCCCAGGACTGGCAAAAAAATAAAAGTAAAAATTAAGTTCATCCATACTAAAATGCTAGGTACCTATTACAGAGAATAAAGCTGTGCAGCCAATTGCCTGTGCTTCATGCCTGTAATCCCTTTATCTCCAATTAACCAGCAGTGGAGATGTGGCTCACATGGTAGAGTGCCAGCCTTGAGCGAAAAAGCCAAGCAAGAATGTGAGACCTTGAATTCAAGCTGGTCCAGGTGCATGAATGAAAGAAAGAATGAATAAATAAATAGGGGCTGGGAATGTGGTGCTTACCCTGCATGCATGAAGCCCTGGGTTCAATTCCTCAGTACCACATACACAGAAAAAGCCAGAAGTGTCACTGTGGCTCAAATGGTAGAGTACTAGCCTTGAGCAAAAGAAACTCAGGGACAGTGCCCCAGCCCTGCATTCAAGCCCCAGGACTAGAAAAAAAAATAAAATAAATATGCTGAATAGGATACTTGTTAAGTGAAAAAGCAAGGGACAGAATAGTGAGCAAAGAGAAAACTTTTTTATTGCTTTTTTGTTGGTTGTGGGGCTATTCAGGGCCTGAGCGCTATCCCTGAACCGTTTTGTGCTGAAGTCTAGCGCTCTACCACTTAAACCACAGCGCCACTTCTGGTTTTGGAGTGGTTAATTGGAGATAAGAGTCTCATGGACTTTCCTGGACTTTCCTGCCCCAGCTGGCTTCAAACTGCAATCCTTAGATCTCAGCCTTCTGAGTAGGATTACAGGCATGAGCCATCAGTACCCAGCAAGTACAACTATTTGAATAAAACAATTTTTAATAAAAGTTTATATATTGGTGTATGCTCACAGACTTTTTTAGAAAGACATCAAAGGAAATAGTTCTCAGCCAGGTGCCGGTGGCTCACACTTGTAATCCTAGCTACTCAGGAGGCTGAGATCAGAGGATCCTGGCTGAAGCCAGCCCACGAGACCCTTATCTCCAATAAACAAAAAAAAGAAAAAAAGCCAAGAGTGGGACTGTGGCTCAAGTGGTAGAGCACTAGCCCTTGAACAAAAGAAGTTCAGGGACAGAGCCCAGACCTAGAGTTCAAGCCCCAAGACAAGGGGGCAGAGGGAAGTTCTCTTTGGGGCAAAATTTCAATATTGAGGGAACAGATTTTTACTTTTTTTGTTGTTTGCTTGTTTGAGAATGGCCTCCAGGAATGCTGGGATTGAAGGTGTGAGACACCTTCCCCACCGGTTTATTCATTTTGTTAATTTTCTAGCAGAACTTTCACTATGATTACTTTGAGTTAGTAAAGACTGCATTCAGACATGGTGCTTTGGAAATTCCTCAGTGGCAGAAGTTCCACGTAGGTAGAGAGACAGGATTAGTGCTGGGACTTGGAGAGGAAAGATCTGTAAGGAGGCATTCAGGAAGAACAATACAAACCTGCTTATGCTTCACTGCTGGAGTTTTCTAAGGACCTAGGGCTGTCAGGCCCAGGTATGAGGAGTCTCTGGACCAGATATAGTTGGCTTAATAAGCTCCTAGCGTTCTGTGCACCTGAGGCACAGTGTCCCCTAGGTCTACAACTCCACCATTTACAGCTCAATCCTCAATTATGGTGCTGGGCATCTGGCTCCGGCATCTGAAGGAAAAAGCACTAGCTGCCCTTGTTCAGAGGTGAGGTTGGGGATCTGGCGACTTTATATAGATCTTTAAAATCCTGGTCCCAGATCTGGCCTCCATAATGCCTGGTCAGTGTGAGCCTGTGGCTGCAGCAAGCTCTTTGATGCCTTGCATGTACTTCCTCCATACCGTTGTCTGTAGAGCTTGGACTGGGGGCCTTAGGTACCTAGATGCTTCTTTACCTGACGGCTCTGACAGCCTCCTCAGGATAACGGAGAAGGAAAAACACCTTCCCCAAAGGGAGAAACTTGGTTAGAGGAATCCTGCCAGAAGAGGCTAAAGGGCAGGACCTAGACAAATCAAATCTCCTGGGTTTCTCATTTCTTCCTCCCAGACAGAGGCCAGATATCTAATCCCTCAGGTCACCACCCTCCCTTAAACCTACCCTCAGCATTAGAGAAAAAAAAAAATTCTGTAATGCCTTCATCTGGATTGCTCGGGCTGAGGGAATACAAGCACATTTCATCTGTGTGGTTTAAGTCAGGGTTTAAGCCATCTAGTGAAACACTGCAGAGGTAAACGAGAGCTTTGCAGACGTCGCAGACTGCATATCTTCTTTGCCACCATGTTCGCAGCCCTACTCCTGCATCTGCTGGGAAAAGCACACAGCCACCCACACTGCTGGTCATTCATCTCTACGCCATAACTTCTATGGGAGGGGGCCTCATCCACTCCAAGGGGTAGCTCTTGCCCTCCCAGGCTGGAATCTGAGGGCCATATGTTGGCAAAAGGGTGGTACCTTAACCTATACCTCTCCTAGAAAGGCTGGGAAAAACCCACTGCACCCTGTCTCTGCTGCTCTGCTTACACCATTCCTTTAATACAAAAGCCCTACCCCCAAAGCTTTCCATCAGAATCCTATTTGTCACAGCAGAGTTATTTATAACATTTTTTTAAAAATCAGCAAGTAACTAAATGTCCAACAACAGGTGACTTTCCAGTTTGACGGTGTCCACTCAATCACAGGAAGTATGGACAATAGCAAAGGCACTATCCATTCAGCTTCTAGCAAGGTGTTGAGCCAAAAGCTGAATCTCTTCTTTCACTGCGATGTCTGAAATTATAAGGCTGTCTATGCAACCAATTGTCACAAGCAATCCTGATGTTCCAAGCCAGATGCAAAATGGTCCTTCCAAGAGTTATCTTCTCCAACCTTCATTCATTCTCTCTCCCTTCTAACATCTCTTGCCTGGTGGGTGGCAGGTTTTGTGTATGTCAATCCTGGCTCCCAAGATGAAGTGGCCGTGGCTGGTTTTAGGGTCTGTCTGTCTCATGGCAAGCTCATTAGCTTTGAGCCTTGTCTTATAGACCTCAGTGCTGAGACAGGAATAGTGCTGTTCCTCCCCCCACTTATAGCTGGCCAGATGTCACCCAACTACTACCCCTTCTCACCAGTCTAACTAAACCCTTAACTATACCTGTAGACTTCAAGGTGAAGAGAGGGGGAAAGAGGGCCATGTTTTAATTCCCTCATCCCCTCCACCCTCACCCACTCCACCATCTGCTCTCCATTGCTGCTCTCTGGGAAGGTGGTGTGGGTTAGTGTGCACCCAGGCCCTGGCACCT